TCCCACTAAATGGCACCCTCTCATTGGTTATAATGAATGTCAATCACGCATGACGTTCAGATGAAGAGTTTTGGCTCCGGGTTACTAGAAGAAGAACTTTATGTTTGTCATAGTAATGAAGAGCAACTCAAATGTCGCCAATTTGTCGTGATTTTGGGATCTTCGCGCATTTTCTTTGTTCTTTACTGAAATTTTTTTTTTTTTTGTTCGTGTTGTTCGTATGCAGACAGAAATTTTCCATAAGCTAATCACTAATTTTAATGCTTTAACGTATTAAACGCTATTTTATAAGGAGAAGCATTTACAGTATACTCTGAAATATTTTTTAATCACTTAATACTATAACAATAATTCGTATCACTGAAATAATTTTTCAGTATTTCCTGAATTAAGTTTTTATCAGGATCATCAAAAGTCTTTCGATATGAAGCATGGTTTATTAATCTTTGAACAAATGTAGTTTCAAAATATTAGTCCTAATTTTATTTTCTAACATCTCATAGTTAGATTGTTCTTTTATAATTTTGAACTTACGTTATCTTTTCTCAAATAAAATTCGTAAATTGTGAATGATCAGAATAGCTATTACTCTACACCGATTTCAGCAGGTTTTTATAACACAAAAACAAGTATAATAATAAATGTTTAATAATTTTAATTTAATTTCAGTTTTTATATTGTAACAACAACAACAAAATATCCTTGATTCAACTTACTTATGTAAACTTGTCATTGTGATATATAAATTATACTTTATAATTGAGATTTTCATCAAATTTCTATGCACCTCATACAATTAGTTAATAAGTAAATGGTGTATCATGTTGTATATGGTTAAACTTTGTAAAAAATTAAGAAATCATATTGCATGGTTTCAAATTATAAATAAACTGTTTAAAAATCTCTTTAATTAGCAAATTAAAATGGTTTGGATAAATTTATGTTACTTTTGTTTTGGATAAGTAATTATCGTTTCTTTTAGAATTTTCTGTTCAATAGCTCATTTTAATAATTAAACATATGTTTGATTTGGATCCCATCAGTGGCCAAGCAGTAAAGTTACTGAATACTAATAGTTTGACCTGAGTTGGATTCCAATCGAAAGGGTTGGCTACATGAGCATTTTTGCAAATTTCCAATGTGTAACTTGGATACCAACCAGTTTCCTCTAGAAAGTCCTCCACAAAAGCACTCCTCCCTTTTGACAAATAGCACTCACATGCTTTGCTGAAGAATTTTCTGTTAAATAGCTAGCTTCATTTATAAAGCAAACTGAACTATGTTTGATTTGAGATTAATTAAAAAATGAAAGGCTAACTAAAGCTAATTATCATTTTTTAATTTTTTAATTTTTCTCTTCAAGTTAAACAGCAAAATACAACTAATAAGTTAATATAGTATAGAAACTAATACATAATGATCATACTGGATATTTTCTGGGCACTTGATATAAGAAATACAAAAATAAACTGTTGATTGACTCCATAAAAATAAACAGATTTAAAGATTTTATTCCAGTTATTGAAAAATTAGTATATATATTGATTAAATCTGTGCAAATTAAAGATTAAAACTTTAACATGCAACTGATTTAATAGCAGAGTAGGTAACACTGATTTCTTGAATTTATGGGTTCCTGTGCTAGGCGAGAAAATGCTGCTGACATCCTTAGCTATTTATAATTCATTCTAAGGAAGCATTAGATCTCTGTATAGTTAATTTTCTTTTTAAAAAATGTACATTAAGATGGTAAATAATGATTTAATGTTTCTACTGGGTTACTAGAACTTGTATTTTAAGGTTATTTTAGTAATGAAGATCAACTCAAATATTACCAGTTTGTCCTGATATATTCTTTGTAGATGTATTCTGTTCCTTTCAAAATGTTTGTTGATCATTTACTTGTAAGATAGTTATAAAGTATTTTCTCCTGTCCTTCCACATGTCTTCATGGTGTAATTGAAAACAGACTCGATGCATATTCGAGAGTTCCAGGGTTCCTGTGAGAACATTGCACATTTTTCACACCTCCTGCTTCAAAATAATCTAATGACGTCACATAGTACTTAATTGTTCAAAAGCTAGTCAATAATTTTAATGCTTTTGCCATTTTGTAGGGAGAAACATTTATATTATAATGTGAAATATTTTTATAATCACTTTAAATTATTGAAAAATTAGTAATTATATTTGTTATTTAATAGCTGATTTAATAACAGAATTGTTAGTGTGCTGTGGTTTCGTTAATTTTGGTTCCATTTCCAGCTGAGGAGATGCTGATGTCCTTAATTATTTATAATTCATTCTAAAAAAGCATTAGATCTGTGTATAATCAAGTTTCTTATTCAAAAATGTACATTAAAATGCTAAATAATGATTTAATGTTTCTGAGTTAAATTATAAAAATAATCCAATTTCTTTGTGATGATCTTGCATTTCATTATTAGCTTAAAATGTATTATGACATGGATATGTATTAGTTTACTACTCACACATTTAAAAAAATAAATACCTTAAAACTTCCAAAGACTGATATAATTAAAAGTTCAAGATAGTGTGGTATCTTGATATTGTGCTTACATCAAAATTTTAACTAAGCTTTACACATTTGAGCAATATAATCACAAATTAGATAACTGACCTAAATTTCTGTAACATAACATTTAATGATTATGAAAAAGCACACAATGACTTAACTATCTAAAGATAAAAATTACCTTTATGGCTGGTATTCTATTTAGGATCCAGAAAAACCACAAAACCTTTACCTTTCTAATGATTTCAATGTGCTTTGAACTATTAATGTGTGGATGGAGAACCCCAACATACTGATTTTTTTTACTCAAAAGACTTCTCCTTATCTAAGCAATTAAAGACATATATTTCATACATAAAATATCAGTAAATGAAACATTTAAGTTTATATATATATATTAGATTTACCTAAAACATTTTAATGAACACTATATATTATACTTAGGTTCAAGTCATAGAATATCTAAATATTAATTCTGATTATTGATTTAGTCCCACACGTAGGTGAGTAGTTAAGACTGCTGAATGCTGGAAGTTTGATCATAGGTGAAAGTACTGGCTGTATGGTTTTTCCTGTGTGTAACGTAAATGTGAGCCATTTTTCCTTAGGGGAGGCAGATAGCCCTCGTGTTCTTTGCTGTATTCAAATATCCTAATCTAAACTTTTATTCATTTTTTCCATTTAGTGAATATGGCAGAGATAGTTATAATTCTTATGTATTACAGTGCAAGGATAAATTGTTGTTAATAAAAATAAACAAATAAGTTTCATCTTTACCCTCCCCCCTGTGTGTGTGTGCATGCATAAAATTTTGATTTTTCCATCTAAATTTGTTTTTGCGTTTAATTATTAAACTTGAAATGTCAGTTTAATGCCGCATATGTAACTCAAGTGCATTTTTATCCAACCACAACTTTTTTTTTTTAACTGCAGTGTGTGTACAAAACTTATTTCATTTTACTTTGGATTCACTAGAATTTTTAATTCGATACTGCCATTTTACCTCTGCAAGATGATTGTTTTCAGAGATAATCAAATCTTGAGCTTATGAGAAAACAAATCACTCGCGGTAGTTCTAAATTTTTTTTTAGCTTAAGGAACAATGTAATAAAAAACATGAGCATTTCTTAATCTTTTTCTTGAATCTTCATTGGGCTACATTTTGTTATTCTATTGAAGTATTTATCATCCTTGCTGCATAATACAGTCAAAAGTCGTTAATCCGGACTCGTCGGGACTTCGGCGATTCCGGATTATAGATCATCAGTTTAAATCTGGTAAGATGGCATGCAGAAATTATAAAATTAAAAATATGAAACCGTAATTTATGAAATAAAGAGAGCAATTATGATCTAAAGGGTATCAAAATTTACAAAAAGAAAAAGCTAAATATTTATTTGTTTACTTTATTAAACATTTCTTTCAATGTAAGTTGTTTAATTTGCTTCGTTTCATGTGATAATACTTTCTCTTTAATTCTATTAAACAGACATAATTTCTTGTTTAGTTACAAAGTTCCGCTGTTCAAGTCCTATAATTGCTGTGTCGAGAATACCGACTAATTTGTCAATCGAAATTTTTTCGTTTTCAATAACCTCTGAGTCACTATCGGAAGCGAATTATAATGACGAGGAACTTGATTTAAATCATATCAAAGACCGAGTACATCGAGATGAAATACTACATTTAGTAAAGAATTATAAGCCAAATAAAATAAAAACATCTGCCTTGAAGATAAGGATAGTGCTGACAGATCAACTTCCAATTCATTGCGCGCCGTGTCGTTTCCCTTCCCCCGCAGAGCAGCGTGAAATTGATAAACATATTTCGGAATGATTAGATAATCAAAGGATATGCCTTTATCCATTTTTTTGCAGCAATTCCACTTTCTGTTTAATGGACTTCGAAACATACTTTCGCTTTGTAGATCCTTTACATATTAGTAAATATATATCGGAAATTCTATTTGACATAATCGGAAGTTCAAGCTTACTTTTATAAAATTGCTCTAACAGTCTGCAAAAAATAATAAGCCGGATCCAATTCGAAGATTAAAGAACAACGCAATCTGCAACATTAACTGAAATAGATAATTAGATAATTTTAGCTTATACCGTCCGTTATACATTAAACGCGCATGCGTAAACGTATTATGCGCATGCGCACATGTATATTCGCAGCCGTAAAGGTCTTACGCGCACGCGTAAACGCCTATGCGCATGCGTGAACGCGACGCATGCGCAGAAAGTTTTTAGCTTTGAGGTCCGGATTATGGGTGTCCGAATTAACGACTTTTGACTGTAATTGCCAGTTTTCAGAAGTTATAATTCAGTGTAGTGTAATATTTAATTTATCTTTCACATTAAAACTTCAAAAATAATGAGCATCCTTTTTTATATCTTTATTTCATTTTGATTTTTATAATAATTAAGAGATAGAAGTCTTCAAAGGAATATAACTGCAATTTGTTTTAAAATTTATTAAGATCTATAAAGAAGGCAATACAAGAACATGTCATATATGCATAAGAATTTTGGTCCTTGTTCAGTAGCAAGAGGTTTAAAAAAGGAAGAGAACGTTCTGACTGGCTTCCCAATGTAATCTATATATCTTCAAGATTTTGCCATCAAGTAACTTCCTGAATTCTAAAAATTATGTCACCTGTACTTCACCAGGTGACTAGTCCTGTGTTTTAGACACCATACACTGACAATACTGAAAGAGAATTGTCATTTCATTAAGCTCCAGACTTTGAATGCTGTTTTCAACTTTGAATTAACAATTTATTTTATTAATTTGATCTGAAGTGTATGAAATCGGGAAAATTTATCTTATATTAAAATAAAAAAAGAAAAACAATATTTTTATTTGCATGCATAAAAGACCTGGGCAGTTTGGAAACATACACTAAAGTTTTAGCATTTTCCTAAAATATGATTAAGTAAAAATAACCTCGACTTGACAATATCCTGATTTAATGAAAAATTTCATGAATTATGTCACACTTTGATTACTATTAATTGTTTGAAATGATATTTTTGCATCCTTAATTGACAAACTTAATGACTATAGCACAGGGAATTAAAAAAAATTACTGAATTTAATTCAATGAACTTTTCATTAAGTCACTCGTGGGCAAAATTAAGAGAATTTGCAAATTATGTTTATTTTTAAGAAAAGTTTTGAATCTAAGGTACTAATTATGCCGCCAAAGAATTATGCAAATATTCAGAGTCGAATACGTAATCGTACATGTGCGTATCTGCGGAGCTATGATCGTGAAAAGAATGTCAGCGCACGAGGGGTTTTCAACAATTCATTACAATACTGGATATTAATCTGCATTGTGATTGCACCTGTATATATTTGTGTATATTTGATACCTCCTTTTTTAATATCTAAATTGTATTACACTTCATTTGTATTCTTATTTCATTGCCCCTTTGCTGTGTATATCAGAGACTTCGAGGATTTTTTCATCCCTCCATTTCATGTGTTCTATAACCACTAGTTGGCACCACATTACAGTAAATCACCTATCTGCATGTTGGAAAATTTTTTATCACCAGTTCGGACTAGCGTCCACTTCTGCGATGGAATCAAAGAGTTAAATGCAATGGTAGCCACAGTAATTTGCTATAGAGTTTCGCCGATTACGGTGTGTATGTATAAAGCCAATGGCCTAGAAGAGGTCTCCCAGATTCGTATAAAAACCAGTTAGTTACATGCCTGTTTCAAAGTCACGCTCGGCGATTAACGGTAGATTGTCGCCAGATCAATCAGAAGCGCAGGTAGTTAAAGAGCTCAATGTGACACCCAGTGTCGTCAGCAATTTATGGAAACAGTTTCAGGACTTTGAAAAGTTCGACCAAGATCCACAACCAAGGTCCAAAGCCGACCAAAATCCACAACGACGATTGAAGCTCACTATTTGCCTCTTTCAGCGCTGCGACACAGAACTGCTACAGATTCACAACTCTCACCTGAGCTATATGCTGCCGCTGAAATCCGAGTTTCACGGTTTACAGTTGTCTGAAGGCTTCATGAGATAGGGCTGTATGCCAAAAGACCTGCTATTTGCGTTCCGCTCACTTCAATACACAGACTTCAGTGCGTGCTTTTTACACGAGCCGAGATATGCCTGGCCATTGATTCTTATTGTGTCTGCATCTGGAAAGAGCCTGGAACACGATACCATCCCTCCCCTCATCATGGAAAGGATCATTACGGTGGTGGAGGTGTAATAGTTGGGTAGGTATTATGCTGAACGGCCCCACACCCCCTTCATGTGTTTGACAAAGGCTTTCTGATTTCTATGAGGTATAGAGAGGCAATCTTAGATCGTATGTTTCAGGAGCGCAGTTGGTCCTGTGTTCCTGTTAATGGATGACAAGGCTCGTCCACATAGGGTTCAGCTGGTCAACAGTAACCTGGAAAGTGAGGATATTCGCCACCTGGCTAAACAACGCAACATCTAACTGAAATAATATATCCCTATAAAGCATGTCTGGGACGCTCTTAGGAGGGCAATTTCCACCCTCCTCCAAGAACCATCCTGGAGTTGCAAACTGTCTTGTTGCAGCAATGAGACCGACTGCCATAAGGGCTCTTCATCTGCGTCCTGTCTAGTATGCCGTCACGCTACACAACCTGTCTGGCTGTGGAAAAGACCATACCTCATATTAGATCTTAGAGAGATGTTAATTTATTTTTACCGATGTTTGTTTAGAGCTTTATTGATAATCATGAGACATAAAATGACTTGGAATGTCACATTCCTTTCTCTGTTATAAATGTATATTCATAGTGTAATTTTAAAATAATTCATATTCAGCGATTTTAAGTGATTTACAATAAATTTGACAGATGAACTCCTGTGTAAATAGAAAGTTTAAGAAACATTAATGAAATTCTCCTGTATTTATGTCTTTATTCTAAACAACGCAACACCTAACTGAAATAATATATCGTTAGTTTCGCTTTCAGTTTCAGGATAGTTCTAAAAAATTAAGTTATTTCAACTTTTTTAAAAATTAACAGTATTCAGGATCTTACCTGTTTTTGAGGTGATCCTCTCTACTTCTCAAGGTTCCATATGATTTCGATCTTGTGCGAAAGTGATTTTCAGTACCGATATTAGTCTTAGAAATATTTTGTTCTTTTCAGAGATGGACGCAACTAGAGAGTTTACTGCATTTTGTTTTATTCCGTCACAAATAAGGCGATGAACGATTTCATCACGTTTGAATATTTGTGAATGATTTCATGTTATGCCCTGTTAATTAAATAAAGGGAAACTTTTTTAAAAATTATTTCGTGTGATATTTGAATATGATGCAAATGTTATGCCATTTTTTTAATCATATTTAAAGACAATATCCACATTTTTTTTTTAAAGCTAACTTTTAACAGTTACCGTTATTGAATCTAAGAATCTCTAGAAACTATGCATTTTCGTCTCACAAATATAATAAATAATGTAACTGTTCAATAACAGACTGACAATACTTTTTATAAATTTTAAATAAGTTTGAATAATTCGTACATTTATCATTTAGCCAGATTTTTAAATCGCTATAATTTAAACAAATTTTTTAATATGCTTGGCACTTTTTTCATTTTTGGCATTGCGAACTTGGTATATAACATTATTCGAATTATCGAAAACAGTTTTAAAAAATTATATTTGAGAATGCAGGTCATGATATAAAGAATTATCGCATTTGGCCTTTGCCTGTTCTCATGACTAGCACGTCCAGCTGTCATGAAGACCAAACATTAGCTTATTCTTGCTGATTTTTTATGGCAGTTTATGTAGCACCGATGTGCGTAATAAAAAAACTGCCCATTAAATTATTCATAAGTCAAATGAAACAGTTTACACAGTTCTTTTTAAGCTGTACAGATATTAAACTATGCACGATTAGCTAAAAAATTATTTTATTTTAGTAATTGAGTTTGTACATGCACTTTAACACATTGACTGCCATGTACATCATCGATGATTCATAGCGGCCTTACTTTTCGGAGCCATGCTCATCGAATGTGACTCAAATTTTGTATTGTTTGAAGCTGTGTGAGTCATCGGTGCTTCACAAATGGATCAATTTATATGGTTAAAATTATTTCTACATTCAGAAAGTTGTTCGTATTCTTGGTTTCGGCTTCTGGAAGCTTTTTTTCATAGATTATTATCTGATTTTAATATAGATTTTGCTGCAATAAGATATTATCTGATTTTAATATAGATTTTGCTGCAATAAGTAATCATTATTTATGAAGTAAAACAACGAAGTTATAATTAAATGGGATTGTGTTGTTTATTGAAAGAATACAAGACTAGCGATATTTTTTAAGATGTTTACACATTCACTAAGTTATTTATTTTTGGTTATGTATTATGTTTTATTATTTGTATTGTAATACAGTATTTGTCTAATTTTACCAATTTTTCCTATTGAGACATAGAACTCTTGTGTTAATTTACAATGAACTGAAATGTAATAAATTTATTGTTTTAAACCTGTTATTTGTTTATCTATTTATTAAATATTCATAAAAATATATTCAGATTAGGTACTGAACTGATTTTTAGGATAAAGGAGACACGAAACCACTAGAATTAAAAAAATGATCCGACAGACTATTTTACCAGATTTTGCTGTGGCACTGTGTTAAATAAAGATTACACACCCACGTGTTAAATAAAGATTCTTTTCAAGTACCCTAAAAAACTTTGATTTTAGAAAACATCAATTATGTCCGTGAAGTATTAGCAAGTTTGTTATATTTATAATACCGCTGCCATGGCTTCAGCCATGGCATGCGAGTCCCCAAGAGCGAAATAATGATATATTTCGCTCTTTATTATCCATTAAAATGGGGGTATCGCCTCAACCAGAGGTTCATTGTAGCCCAAATAAGTCTGTAGAGTTAAAAAAAAGGTGAATTTGAAGATTTAATAATGTCCTTATTCTTCAGAAACACAATTT